ACGTCGAAAACGGTACTATTTACCTGATTTATGCCATATCTATGTCCGTACATACATTTAATGTTAGAATTTGTCTGCAGTTTATCGGTGTAAAATGTCTTCTTCTTACTGTAAGTCAATAATTTAGTGTATGGATGTGCGTGTTCAAAATTTTGATATAAATTATAAATTGTTACTTAAAGTTAAATACATATTTAATATCATCGATCAAATCATTAAAACATTGATAAGACCGCTTCCAAAATTGCATTATCCTTTAGTTTTAATATCATCCAATGTAAATCGACAAAGATATGTAAATGAAATGCTGATGTTAAGGCAGGGCAGGGCATTGCCTTTATTTAAAAACACTTCTATGATAAGAACCTTCTACATTCCTCTACCTGTAAGTCGTGAGCCTACTTGTAGTCATGTAACTACAGCTCGAACATGTGCTGACTGGACCGGGGAAGTACCACCCTCTCACAGAAGACCGGCGTGAAGTAGCCTTTAATGGGTGTGTTTCGTTCGATGAGTGAAAGAGCCGGTTGTCCTTGTTCATTCCAAATCTCAGTTTTGTCTATATTTTTCCACTTCATGGATCTTAGTAAGAATTGAAGCCTCTGTATCTACAAAGAAACACTTTTTTATTTCTTTTTGAACGCTCATGTATAATATAACTAGCGGCCTCTAAGATTTTAAAGTAAGAAGAAATCTTACTCTCCGTTTTGTTGTATTTTTTTTTATTACACTTTCTTATTTGGATGAATATTTGCAAACCCTTCTAATACTTTTATAATAAGTGATGCCTTTACTGTTTATTCCAAACTATAAAACTTATTACACATGAAAAATAAAGTTTTGAATGTCAAAACGTTTATGTATTCCTATTTATATTGACAGATTTCCGTATTTAATTTTATAGTACTGTAATAAGTACTTTTATAATTTAAATAATTTAAAAAATAATACATTTACAATACTATTTTAAAAGTACCTCTGTGCCCGTTTCATGATAAGGTTCCACATAGCAATATGTTATCGTGATAGCATGTAGCAATGCCGAATAAAGTGCTATGTACTCGTAAATATTCTCTTCCTCGTAAACTTAAAAAATGTATATTATTATTAATCAATAACAAAAAACAGAATGTTTTGTTGAGGGAATTCTCAGACAACATGCACAGCGTCTTAGTACAGGTCAAACCTATTTGTTTGTTATACTATGCGAGGTCCCGTATACGGTTGCGGTGACCTCGTTCTAAGTTTCCAATCAACATTTCTTTCGTTCACAGGTCGAGGAGTTGGAGTCGCTGGTCATAGACGTGTGGGTGGAGGCGGTCGGCTCACCGCTGAGCTTCGCTTTGCGAACACGAGACTCTCAATGACTGGTGCTCTGGTAAGGTTATGATATCCTGTAAATGATAATAAATATATGAACAACTACAAATATACGAAATGTAACAATCGAAATGTTATTTAAATTAGTTGAAATATTAGTTGAAAAAAAGATATTAATTACGAGATATTTTTCCTTTGATATTTTTCACAAGGAAAAGATATATATGATTAGATTAAAAAATTTCTTCTATTGTATTTTGGTAACAACGGTAATTTTATAAAAAACGGTACCTTTAGGGTGTTATTAAAATATATTTCATCAGTGTCGTTTTTTCGTCCTTTTATAAGACCGTGAGTATGTTGTTAAATCCTTGTATAATAACTCGGTATTTTAATTAATTCCAGGATCTCTCACTCGGATCCCGAGCGGCTCGTAAACATAACGAATACCTCACGCGCCGACTTGACTGTGTATCCATGTGTTGTTAAAGAAAATGATAAAACTTGTTATAAAAATTGTATTTTTACGTTAACGCACTAGCAACTAAATTACAATGTAGAACTATTTTAAAGGCTGTTGTCTAAAATCATATTTAATATTGTATTTAATATCTTAGTACATAAACTAATAAGTAACGAGTAGAAATGAGGATATCGGTTCAAGTTTAATAATCAATACACGGGATCCATTTAAGCCTTCGCTGATGATCTTGCAATTCGGACACGAAACCACAAACATTGTCAAGTACTACGGAATGCATGAATGGATATCAATGGATAAATACTGTGAGCTGACGGATGGACTGAGGACAAAATCAAATAAATTTAATTGTATGTGTCTCGATAGGCGGAATACAAAGTATACCTCATACGAGCCGCGATTATAGTTAGGCGGTCAAAACGTTTCTACGGAAACGGAAAATGCACCAAAACAGGTGTAAATATTTAACGGTAAATTTGTAACGTAAGTTTTTTATCAACATTTCTGTTAATTTACAGAATCCTAAATATCATTTTGTTATGTTATTTTTCTTACATTTTTTTGAATGTATATGTAAATATACCTGTCTGAAATATACGGGAATTATAATTATACTTTGATAGAACAGAGCCAACGAACATATTAACTTTAACTTCTTAAAGAAATAAGCTGTTGTATTCCAACTTTTAGTGAATTCATTGACATTTATGAAACCGCACAATATTTACGCCTTCTGAGGAAAATATAATTAATATCATCGGCACGTATGTTGCCGGGAACCAAATAATCTATACATATAATTATTAAATCTTTTTATGAACTAATAATAACACAATCATTAATATTAAAATATTCATATCATTATGAAAATTTCAGAGTTTAAACAACAAGAGTTGCCATGCCGTGCCGTCTGTACCTGTGTCTTTTCGATGTATTACCTCGTGTCTGTCCTTGTCCCTCAGTTGTGAGTTTGATTTTTATGAATATTTATGTAAGTAGTTTAATAAACACCGACTTATAGTTCTCGTTTAATTATAGCAAGAAGTTTCATAGACGAAGAGGTTTCAGAACAAAGTGTGTACGAGGAAGAGATGGACACAGGAGTGGAGTTATATCTGGCAGCCGACTTTGGAATACAAGATGAATCGTTTTATCAGGTTTACATGTTTTCACTGACTTTAGTGATGACTATATAAAACATTATCACAGGAGTAAAAATATGTTTGAAAATAATGTTCACGCAGGTCGAGCCGCTGCAGTTGTCGATAAAAGAGGGAGAAAGTGCCTCATTAACAATACGGTCGATTCCACGAAGTTTACCAGTCCACGAGTGTGGGTGAGAATATTGTTGATATAATATTTTCGCGCGAGCAATACTATCATAGACTAATCTTAGTACGTATAATACGTAGCAGTAGTGTGTAGATACAACCAAAGAATGATTTGTGGAGATGTTATCATGTAAAACGCTTTTTTTACTAAAAGTTAACTTACGAGTTAAAGCAGGCTATAATAAACAAATACAGATACAACCTTGATGTTGTGTCTTGTTTCATTTGTATGTAGTTTCGCATGGTACCGCCCTCCGCCCCCCGGCCAGTGCGTGGCGCTGCGTGAAGCTGAACGACACTCCGACCTCAGAAACACTCAGTCCGAGATACGAGTGACATTGTGTGCCCTGGAACTGACCGCCGGTGATGTTATGAGGCGAGCATAAAATATCAAATATAACATAAATCTAGCTTGGAAATAATAATCGTATAACATACGAGTACTCCTATATACTAACATACAACAACAAGAATGAATGATAGTTCTTTCGTTTACTAAATACATAGTTATCATTTTAACCACACAAAAATATACTTTATGATTAAAAAGGACTTTTACACAATCAATATAAACAAAATTTATGACAATAATAATGTATATTACTAACTAACAGTCTTTTTAGTACAGCCTTTGAAAAACAGTGCTTATTCTTATAAACTATTTAAAATGCAACAAAAAATACCTATTCTGAAACTAAACAAAAAAAACTCTTAAATCTTTAAAATTACTAAATAAACAACAAAAGGCTATAGATTAATTTTCCTCTGATGGTCCACCATAGCAGTCAGAACAATCCATAATCACATGTTCCATACAAAAATATTTCTTGCAAGTGGTGCAGTTATATCGGGTTCTTCGATTTTATTTTGGAGCTACAATAATAGCAATTAACTATTTTATTATTTTTTTGTTGTAGCTCTGGACTCTGGATAATCTAATTTGCAAATTTTAGCAAATCTTTGTCTTATCAATCTTGGTAAATGTGTTTGTATTACGTCGCCTCAGATGTGGATTCATGAGATCATATGATAGGGCTTCCAAAAATTTGAACAATTTTTTGCTGGGATTATTGAGGACATATATGACGTCATAAATCTTTGGCATTCAATCTATTATTTCGTCTAACACCAGCAAAGAGTAAACGACCAAGAAAGGCTTGATTTAAAATCTCATCATTTTGTTAGATTATCTTTGCCGAGATAGTAGTCACTAAAAGTTATTCGATCCCCTACTTTGCTGTTGGAATCTTCCTCTAGTTCAGTATCACTTTTTTAGCCTCTCTTTCCACACAATCCTCGAAATCACTATTATTTTCATCATCGTAGTTAGAATTTAAATTATTCGCCTCTAAAATTAGTCTTATTTGTTCGTCGACCATTTTGGGAAGGAAATTTAACCTAAAAGTACATAGTATCAAAGTATGTTATAAAATAATAATCCAATAATAACACTAGTTTACATGGGTTTTGTCCTTGAAATGAAAAGTGGTTTTTTTTAGGAATTGGGGTGCAGTGAGTTTAAGAAAAATTATAAAAAAAATCCAGCACGTCACGTTTCCAAAAAATTTATTATTTTTGATTTACATAAAAATGCCTACAAAAATATGTTAAAAAATTAAAAATGAATTGCCTTAGCTTTTTTCTTGTATTTATTTGTGTCTGTATCTCTTATAATAGACCAGCAATAATCACCTAACATGGCCTGGTCCCAATATCCTTGATAATTTTTTTCAAAAAATTTCAAATCCTGATGAAAACGCTCTCCTTGTTCGTCGCTGACTTGTCCGAGGTTTTCAGGGAAGAAATCGAGATGCGAGTGAAGAACCTAGTAACTCAGCTTTGGATTTAGATAAGTTTAAATCTCTTACTAAATCATTCAGCTCAGACTGAGTTATCATATGTGGTTCTTCATGAACATTAAACAATTCATCTGAACTTGTGTCACTTTGAATTTCATCTTCTTCGGATTCCGTGTTAGTCATTGATGTTTTGCTCGAGCAACCGGGAGGTTCCAGAACTTGCTGCTTGTCTGAGCTGTAGATAGGTTTAGTAACCGAAGGAACATCTGCATATATAATTTTATCTTTGTTCTTCTCATTGAAACCCAATGTTTTAGTGAGACAGAAGTAACAGTCATTTTCGTGGTTGGATGGTTCCCTCCATATCATTGGCACATTGAAATTCAAAAATCTTTTTTTACCTGCAGCCCAGGAGCTTAGCGCTTTTCTACACCTTTCACAAAAAACGTGAGGAGCCCATTTTTTATTCTGGTGAGAGACCGAAAATTTGAAATAACGGAAATATGCGTTTTTGAGTGATTCCGTTATGGGATATCCTTTCTTAGATGTAATAAATTTACCACAAACGTAACAAAAACGGTCAGGATTAACTTTACACAATCTTCTTGACATTTTGAAAATGAATATTTATTTAACTGAATATTACACCGCATGAAAATTTCGGAATGAATTAAGAATCAACTTGTGGGTAGTCCGAAAATAAAATGTAATGATAACTTGATTCTTTGACGTGATAAAAATAAAACAAATATACGTTTTTGTTTAGTTATTGCCACTAAATAAGACGATATGACATTTACTGGAAGGACACAAACTTTTTTTTATTTTGTAAACTAGTGTAATATAAGAAATCATTAAAATTATATAACTAATAAAATACAGCACTCACCTAAAACTGTATCAGCTATACCCGCGTCGGTCTCCTGGACCAAATGGTTTCGTGTACGGATATACGTACTACCCGTACAAGAACTTCCGCCACTCTTAATAGACGCCGGCGACGATTCCGGCAGCTAGCAGTGACCCCAATGTGCTAGCATTTATCGTTAGTTAGAAAAAGACGCAAATTTAAACTGTCGGTCTGATTGACCAATACGCGGGTATAGGAGGATTAAGTAAGCATGTGTCTTTTAGTTAGTGATAATTTATTTAAGGAACTTTTAAAAACGGTAGTTGTTATGTTGCTAGACGTGACGCCTGGTTTAGATATAACAATCTTCGTAATAAACTGATTCATATCTAATTCATTCAATTCATATCAAACATATATGTACAATACTTCAGTATTATTTCTAAGTGATTCCTGTTATCACAACGTATAAATTATATTTTTTCAAAAATACGACGATCACTTTTACATTTTATAGATCGACTTAGAGTAGGTTTCTTTGTATTTATCTTTTATTTGTAATTGAATTTGAAAGTACGTAGAATGAGCAACGTTTAGCTTTACGTTTGAGGCTAGAGATATAGATAACTCTGTTGACAATTATTATCCGAAAGAAAATAGTTTAAGTTTGCATGATATAATTATTATATATTATACAACAGACTTGTATATTATACAACTTGAACTGAAATAACATGGTAGCGTTGTCTTACTTTCTTCAGGTGTGAAAATGTAATTGAATTGTTAAACCCTTATTTCAATAGTTTTAATTGATAACTTAATCTCATCACAATGAGGGCGTCGCGTCGCCATTACTTATTGTAATTTAAACGTGCTTAACAAAATTACAATGTTATTATCAACTGGAGCAAATTTGTAGGTCACAGATACAATCAGTACGAGGTCTTATGTGACCCCACCCCCTCTCCTACACTGAATACTACAAATTACTACATATTAATAGGTGATGCATTTTGGCACACCGGCTAGGCAATACTAGATTTAAATTTTACTGTTATTATTAAATGCAAAAGTAATGATCAAATCAAAGAATCAATTATAAACAATGTCAGACCCTGATCCTACACGGACATTAAAACATATTATTAATACACAGAATATCCAATTAGCTGTTGATTATAATATAATGTATATTTGTAATTTATTATAATATTAAATTAATGCTAATTTTATATTAGGAAGATCAATACTATTTTGAAGCTCTAAACTGGCTTCAGGAACTATTTGTGGTATTGGTGAAATATACATATATATAATAGACGCTGAGCATAATTCATCATGATTCTGAATTTGTATCGTAATAATGTACTGTTAGGTACCCAGTGATGAGGTACCCAAATTAGGTACCCAGTGAGTGATACCCAGCACATCTACTTCAACATTTGTTCAAACAACTTACATCTGATTGGTGAGAACAGTACTAACATATTGTTTAATAACATATGTATTAGAAAAATATATATGTATTTACCTATGTTGAAACAATAATTTGTAATACAGTAGAAATCAAAAATTCTATTAGGAGAACAAGAATATGAACAAAAACTTAGAACAAAATCACATTAACAGAAAGAGATAAAAAAAAACAGTTATTTAATCATAATTATCCGATAAATTTAATTTTTACACTGACTCTTAATACCTAACTTTAGTTAAATACTGTTTTAACTGATAATGTTGATATCGACTATGCCGACACCTTAAGGAATAAAGCACATACTCACTACAGAAACGCGACACTACATGAAAGAGCGTCATTTGGTAGTGGTCTTCTGTAAGGCAGAGGTATTATCCTAGCGCTTCTACTTCTACTCTGTTGAAAGCTTTCAGTGTTTCAAGTGAAACTACAAGAGCTTCGTCTTTTCCCCTCATTGATATACCTAACCCTCACTGTCGGTTACTGAACACTTATTTTCTTCTAGAGGATATGTACTTCTAATAAACGTTCTAATATTTTTATATTGTAATTTTTTATTGTAGATTCATTATATTGCTATAATTAAAGAGCTTTATAACGCTCTTTCACAAGCCTTGACAAAAACACATTGAATTTACATGGCTATGAAAATTCAATTCTTACAATTTCTCATTTAATACAGAAAACATTCAATATGATAAAGAAAATATATTATTTTTTTTCCTATAATAAATGTATATTTACTGTCTAAATAAATACTATTTATAGTACAGAATTAAGTACTCTTTTTGTACATTTAAGATAGCTTTTCTTTTGTTCCTCAATAGTTTAATATAAAAAATGTTTGTCAACTTTTTTGAATTAAGAAGTTGCTTGAAGTCGAGAATGAAGTATAATGTAACAATTATTATTGTATGTAAACCTGTTTTTCAATAATGTCCTCAGATTTATATTTAATTTTTAGTGAAGAGAGAATTTGAATCATTATTGCAAGTAAAGTTTATACAACGTTATGTTTATCATCCTACTATTTAATATATAGTATATATATATAACACCGGTAACAGAAAATGGTTCAATGTCAATTACAGCTCACTCATCACTCGCAACTCGCCTCGACAGCATCACTCGCCGTCGACCAAATTTAAATTACATTCTCTAGTTCGCTGCTCATAATATAGGGGAGAGTCGGATATATCGTACCACTTTTCACTTTAACTCAAATATTTCGACTATAACACGTCTTATAATAATTAATACATATGTAAAATAAAGTTTCATATTTTAGCTTCCTAAGAAGAAGAGAACAGATCCTTGCGATTATTCTAACATTGTTAAAAATGCTTTTTTATAGAGGCTTGCCATCGGTACGATTTAGCCGACTAGTCGTTTTAATCGTACCACTGAGTCTTTAAATCGTACCATGGGTGTTTAAGTCGTACCACTGAATAAAAGACATTAAAATTCTCAATCAAATTATTTATTTTTAACTGTTAGGTAAGTAATAAAACAACATTATTAATATCTTTTAGGTAATAGAAACTTAATTTTTAACTCTTAGGTTATATAAAGGAACTAGGTATAAGCTTTCACAGTAAAATAACATGATTATACTCTGATAATGAGATCAATCAACATAACTAATAAAAATGAGACAAAAAAAAACAGTAAACTATAATAATAAAGTAATAGTTAACAAGAATGTTATTTGTAATATAATTATTGTGCATATTTCTTAATGGAAACAACCATGACAAATGTCTGGATTCGAAGTACATGTCTCATGTAGCCACCGTTTACAGCGAACGCATTGAATCCAATCAACTTTTGGACCCTTCTTATCGTAGTAAGAACAATTGCACTTTCGACATATATTTTCAAGATAATCATCATCATCTAGTTCTACAACAAGTGTCTCTCCTGAATCATCGTTACTGGTGATGGAATGAGATCGTTTCCTCTTATAACTTTTGTTTTTGGCCTTAGGTAGTACTTACTATATGTACTTGCGGTAGTACTATAGGTACTTGCGGTTGGTAGTCGGGTAAATCGTACCAGTACAATTTAACCAACTGCAAGTGGTACGATTAAACCAACTAAGGCATTTCTAAAACATAAGCAAATATCCGGCATAAACTCAAAACTTAGACACGCAACAAAAACCCCCAATAATCTAGTATACAATTGTGGAATAATAAAAAAAAACTGAATAACTATAACTTACCTTGATTACGAGTTATCTCCTTACGAATGTACGACAATATTTATATTAATTCCTACAAAAAATGTTTTTCTTTTATTACTTGCACAGTTGTTAACTCACGTCGATTTAAACTAGTGGGTGAAGAGGGATGGTACAGGGCCACGATTTGTTGTTGTCAGTGTAGAAAAAAATATTCATTAAATGGGAAATTTAGAAGTGGTACGATTTAAATGCTAGTACGATATAACCAACTCTCCCCTAATTTATAATGTTTCTCCTCTGTGATTACCATCCAGATACACGACGACTTTATTAAAAAATCATGAAATTTACGAATAGTGGCAGTCAGATTATTTTGATACTAGTATTTTTCCTATAATTTCTAAACAGGTCCTCTAAGATTCTTGTAAGACAATAACAAGATTACGTGTTTTCAAATGAAGTAGGATTTAAATACAATAATACAACTGAGAGATTATAATGTACAAGATGATGTTATACATATAACATTATGTATAACCTTATTGATTCTTATATATTTATGAATATACTTTTAGTACTACATTATTTTACTTAAACTGTTAATTTAACTTTGAAGCTGCATTATTTTTAAATTTCAATTTAATATCCGCATACTTTGAAACAAATGTAGGATTCAATTAACATAATCATAAATATTAAGAGTGATTTAATAAATTATATCAA